TCTGGAAGGTAGCGCCTCCCCTCTGGCCACAGCAACCGACGGGAGGCAAACAATAGTTAGGGTTTAGGGTTTAGGGTTTAGGGTTTAGGGTTTAGGGTTTAGGGTTTAGGGTTTAGGGTAGGGTTTAGGGTTTAGGGAGGAGCAGCTAATGCACAGGGAGAGGAATACCCGGCATGACCATAGCCATCGTGGATTACAAGACAGCTACACTGTAGATGCGGTTTATGCTCTTAAACGGTATCCTTTTTTTCGATCGATTAAGGGTTGGAATTTCAGAATATCTGTCGGGCAACCAAACGGAAGACAGTTTTCTGGAGCACGCGCAGGCTGTTGTGCAAACGGCTGATCGAGTTGGCAGACTGACTGCATCCTTTCCGGTTCAGACACAGTTCCACCGTTGTCAGGGTTAAGGGTTTAGGAGTACTTCTTGACAGCCAAGGCATGGGGCATGTGGTGTGAGGCAGGCAGAGGCAGTGCAAAGCATGACGTCGATGTGATTCGGCGAAACTTTCCCTTACAGCAACACTTACCGAAAGCAAGTGTCGTCCGTAGCAGTCGCAGCGCAGCGACCATGGATCGTGACCCTGATCGAAGCAGCAGCAGAGCCAGCAGCGTCTCCGGACGGTCCCAGTCTGCGAAAAGCTGGAATTCCCTGCCGCCGGATGAGAGAGAGCTGGCTCACGAGCTGCAATCGCAGCAGCTCCGCCTAGAGTCGCGGGGAAGTAACAGCAACAGTAGCAACACGTCACAACCTCGAGACAAACTCCAAGCTGCGGAAGCAGCTGAGCGAGACATCGAAGCTCGGCATAGCCAAACCAGATCGTTGCAACAGCCACGCTCCGGCACCGTATCTCCAGCGGTCGCGCGATCTGCTGCTGACTCCGGAAGGGAGAGACAGTCGAATGCACGCAGCGGCTCTGGCAGCAGCGGCAACAGGCAAGTTCGCACCAGTGAGATGGGCTTGGGATCAGACAGCTCGGCTTCAGGTGCTTCGAAAGAAGCCCAACAAGTGGTGGAGCTGCAAGCGAAGAATCAAGCGCTGGAAGCAGCTTTGCGGTCAAGGGATGCTCAAGCAACGCAGATGATAGCGGACGTTGCGGACATCGACGACTGGAATCAAGAGAGGATGACGAAGATGGAGTCGCAGCTTGCAGATGCAGTCAAGGCTAGGAAGAAAGCGGAAGACGAGCGTGATGCCGTGGAAGTGAAGGCTGCCGGCGACAAGGCCAAGACTGCGTCGTCTCTGGCTGCCGCGAATGCAGACCGGCTGGAGATCCAAGACAGGGACCGAAAGAATGAAGCAAAAGCTGCTGAGGCTCAAATCGAACTCAATGCAGCTCGATGGGATCTAAGCCAGTCAAAGCAGCGGGAACTCGTACAGACCGAGCATCAGGAAAAGGCCAAGGAGCTAAGCGACTGTCGGATTGAGGAGCTAGAGGGCTTGCTGGGTTCCGCAAACCAGGAGCTTGCGAAGCTCAGGCGGGACACTGCAAGTCTTGGGAGCACCGCAAGTGCGCGTGAGACGAGCCTTCAGGATCAGATAGACCTGCTCATCGAGGAGTCGGGGGGTCAAAACCCATAGGCCCTAAAGTAGTTCCTTTTTTGGGGTTCATATTTAGAATCCTAAAAGGTAATCCCAAAAAGGACCTAAAATGGGGCCTATGGGTAAGTCACGTTTATGAGGGTTCAGGCTTCAGTGTTGGTTATAGGGGCCTGTAAAGAATTACTGATATTATTTTGGGGGTTCCTTCTTATATATATATATATATATAATACAATGGGCCCCAAAACCCCATTCTGACTAATTAGGCCCCTGTATTCGGGTTTAGGGTCACTTTAAACGGCCGCGCGGCTGACAGACCTCTGAGTCCGCGAGAGAGCGAGAGAGAGGGTCACTTTAAACGGTTCTGTGTCAGACGCTAGCATCTCACGAGAAGTCAGCAGATCCCAGAAGGCAACCTAATTTACCCCAAGGAGCCCTAAACCCTAAACCTTGTGACAAGTCAGGAGAGGACGCAAAATCGGAAAGACATGAGCGAAGCTCGCTTGGAACTTCTCGGACTAAAGAAAAAGCAAGCGATGCAAGCCATTGACCAAGCAAAGTCTCCCTCAGAGTCGCGTCAGGCACATCAGACAGCAGGAGCGGGAGGAGGAGCAGGAGGAGGAAGGTCACGAGGCAGGGGGCGAGGAAAGGGAGCAGGCAGGGGCATGCTGGAGATTATAGAGGAAGAGGAGGAAGAAGGCTCTGTTGGGCTACCAGAACATGCAGCAGAGTCCTTGGCCAGTGAGTGTAGCAGCGACTGTGGAGATCTGGATGACCTTACGAAGCCTAGGTGGCGATTTGGTATTTGTTTAGTTTCGGTGAAGTGCCTTACAGAGGTGCCTTCCTAGTTTACTGCTATAGAATAATGCGACATGTGTTAGTGCCTTTAGACCCGAAGTCTTTAACCCTGGAACCTAAATTATAAACTAAACCCAGGAATCCAGATCAATCTGCCCAGAATGACCTGTTGGACAAGCTCTTGGCCGAGCTTACAATTGAGCGGAAGGCAAAGCAAGACATGATCCTCGGTGCTTCTTAAGAAGCTTATTATATGGCAGTCACGCAGGGTTGCGTGGTCGACAGGGTGCTTTTTTGATATGGCATCTTAGATCTTAGAGCTGGAAAGAAGGACTAGACAAAGTTCATGACAGATCCCAGGCGTGATGACCACGCTGGTCAGTATGCCGAACATGTGGAAGAGATTGCTCAGTTGCAGAGGCAGCTTGCAGCCGCAGGAGTTCTTCAGGAAACAACTTCTGCAGAGAATACCCGCTTGCAGAGCACTGGGAAACAGGATAAGATCAAGCAGTTGCAGCAGGTGGATGACTTGCAAGTCAAAGTGAGAGAGCTAGAGGAGACGCTATTTGTGGAAATGAAGGTGCAGACGGACAAAGAGGAGCAGCAAGAAGTCACAAATGCCGCGCTGCACCTTGGGGACCAAATGACCCTTATAAGTAGGGGCCCTATACCCTTATACTATGGATCCCTATATGGTATATGAACCTGAAAACCTTAAACCCTAAACCCTAAACCCCTAAACCCTAAACCCCTATGAACCTGAAAACCTTTTAAAGTTCATTTCGTCCTTAAGGCAGGAGAAAATTCAGCTGCAAGCCGAGTCGCTCAGAATCTCCAACCTGCGATTGCAAGACGCAGCCTGGGGAGTCTGAGTAGGATTTTTTTTTGAATGGATTTCGGGTTTGGGGTTTAGAGGTTTAGGGTTTAGGTTTTAGGGTTTAGGGTTTAGGGTTTAGGGTTTAGGGTTTAGGGTTTAGGGTTTTAGGGTTTAGGTTTGATGAGAGTTCCAGCAATTACAGTATCTGCGTCATCCCGTGTAAGCTTTGTAGTTCAGAAGATTGTCGCTAGTATAGGGGTCTAAATAATTACCAATACTACTTTGGTGGTTCCTTATTATAATTATAGTATAATAATGGGCCCCAAACCATATTCTAATTATTAAGGCCCCTATATTGCTTGCTCCGTGCGTATGTTTCTGTCACTCCTACGGTTGCATCCCTCGTTACGCGAGGCGAGGAGTGTTCGCTGGCACACAATCCAAGCCTTTGCTGAACAAGAGGTTTAGGTTCGGTCTGCAGATCCTAACCGAACGAAAGAGTACGCATCGTCTTTGTTCATGCTCCCCTGCAGTCAGCGAGGCATTGCAGCAGCAGCAGTCAGAAGCAGTGCACCAGTTGCGGGAAATGAACTCCTTGCGATTGCAGCTTGCAGTGGAACGCAGGCGAAATGCTGGAACAGATGAGATGCACGGTCAGGCCAAAGAGGACTCACCAGAGGAATCCCTTTACAAGCGGATAAAGGAGTTGGAAGAAGAGACACTAGGTAGGCCTTTGGGACATTTAACATTTTCTACTGCTGCGCCTAATGTAGGGGTCTTAATAATTAGAATAGGGTTTGGGGGTATATTATACTATAAGCAGAAGTTTTCGCAGAAACCCTAAACCCTAAACCCTAAACCCCATAGGCCCTAAGTTTTGAAGCGCCAGACCTAGGAGAAACCTTCTGCTGAGCAAGATAGAGGTTCAGGAGGTGCAGCACCAGGTGCAGCTGGAAGACGCGTACCGTGTTCATGCGTCCAGATGGCACAGCAACCCTAAACCCTAGACCCTGAACCCCTAAACCCTGTAGACTACACTTTTGGGGATAGTAATGTCCCCTCTGAACTCAGCAACTAAGGCTTCCAGATTGCAGGAGCAGCGAGTGAAGTTTGAAGAACAGATCGCAGAGATCCGGTCCCGGTATGAGCAGTTACTCAGGGAGAGACCAGGTCCTTCAGAGGATTTGCTTCGGGGCCTGGGCTTGTGGAGCAACTCATCCAGCTTGAGTGCAGACGCTTCAAACCAGGGAAAGGAGTCTGGACAAGCTGCTGAGATCTGGCTCATGATCTTACTTCAAGTTGCCCTAGTAGGGCTACATAGCAAACAAACCGGTTTCCTATATTTCAGGAACTCTAAACCCTAAGCCCTAAACCCTAAACTCGAGTTAGGTTCTTCCTTAAGATGAACCCAGGCAGACTGTGCAACCAGCGCAGTTGGCGCTGTAAGCGATGCGAGCACCCCTGCATCGCAGAGCACAGGCGGTACTGCTGGCACTTCCATCTCGGAGCAGATTCGCAGTATGATTTGGGCAGTACTTGGCCTCGTTCCTAACGCAGTCGCTGTGCAGTGTGCTTTTGATGACCTGGTAATCCAGAAGGCCACCGCTAGAGCAGGTGCCATCTTCAGTGGGCTGGATTTGATGGGCATGTCCTTCTTTTCTCTGCTCCGAGACAAAACCAATGCAGCCGTGATCAGACGAATGATGCTGGTGAACCAATCCATGGCCGATAGCAGTCGCTTGGCCAGCGCCAGGGATCCTTTTGTTTTTGGGCCTAGAGTTTAGGAATTTGGGTTTAGGGTTCAAAGTTTAGGATTCAGGGGTTTAGGGTTTGGGCCGTGACTGCCGAACATGTTCAATGGGTTAAACGCCTGGACCCCACAAATGACTCCTAATCCATAAACGGTTCTCTAAGCCCCCTAAACCCAAAACCCTAACCTCAGCCTAAAAGGCATCCTTCAATCGTAATCCCTAGACCTCTGATAATCCCTAGACCCAATCCGAAAAGGATCGCTAAATCCCAAACCCGAAAGAGGAACTTAACATCCTAAGCCCTATAACCTCTAAGTAACCTAGTATAGGGTTTGAGGGTGTAGGGAATAAGTATAACACCGCCCTACTGTTCAAGTCTTACGTGCGCCACAACCCCAATCTCTTCAATAAATTAAACTCCTATACTGAGCCCTTGCAAAAACCCTTCTCGTAGGTGAAACGGGAACCCTTTTTTAATTTAGAATCCTTTTAGAGGGCCCTGTTCTAAGTATCAAGGCCCCTACACTACCCCCACAACACCCCGTGTACTAACCCTGTATGACCCATCAAAGGAACCCTTTTGGCGGAAGCTTCAAGCCCTAAACCCTGAACGTCGAAACCCCCAACCCCTGAACCCTAAACCCCTAAAGCCTGAACCCTAAACCCTAAACCCTTAAACCCTAAACCCTAAACCCTAAACCCTATAAACCCTGAACCCCTCAACCCCTAGACCCTAAACCATTAAACCCTAAACCCTAAAGCCCTAAACCCTAAAGCCCTAAACCCTAAAGCCCTAAACCCTAAAGCCCTAAACCCTAGCCGAGGTCAGTCGGAGATCCCTTCCTTCGTCGCCGCCACCTTGGGCAGATTCGGGCTTCAGGCTTAGGGACGCAAAAAGGACATACGCATAAGCAGTTTGATAGGGATTTAGGGTTTAGGGTTTAAGGTTTTGGTTTAGGGTTCAGGGTTTAGGGTTCCCTACCTTATTCGGCTTCAGTATAAGGGGGTTTACATTGGATATCCCCAGAGAACCCAGTACCCCTTAAATCAGGAATATACCTTAAATTATCGGGGGCCTTAATATTATGCTTTCAGGTATATTCCTCAATTCAGGGGTATTGGGTTCTCCGGGTCCCTACCTTGTTCGGCTTCATTATAAGGGGGTTTATGTTGGATATCCCCATCCGAACCCGAAGCCATAAACCCTGAACCCTAAACCCTAAACCCTAAACCCTAAACCCTAAACCCTAAACCCTAAACCTTTTGCTTATGGCCCTGTCAGGGGATCGCTGGGCAGGTGGTTGATGGAGTCCCTTGGCCTTGCGAGACTCTTAGGGTTTAGGGGTTTAGGGTTTAGGGGTTTAAGGTTTAGGGGTTTAGGGTGTAGGGTTTAAGGGTTTAGGGTTTAGGGATTTAAAGTTTAGGGGTTTAGGGTTTAGGGTTTAAGGAATCATACTGGACAAGTCCCTGCAAGCCTATTTACAGTGATTTCCTT